TGTTTTGTTTTTAACAAGAGAGAATTCATGAAGCCTAAATGTCCTGGTCCCGTCTTCAAGTCTTATTGCGCTGATACTGGGCAATGCTTTAAAAGATGACCCATCACTTCAAGAAATGGTAATGGGTGCCATATGCTGGTGACAATTTCAAGTCACATGGGGGATGGGGCCCATTGAGTCCAACAGGCAGTCAGGCAAGGTGTTCTTGCTGTGTCTTTCTCTTTAAGAATATATATATATATTCCCTGTCCTCCACTGCCTGAGCCCTCCGAGGCGCATTCGGTGCAAAGGCTTCACCTAACGCATCCCCAAGCCAGAGTGGCCACATCTACCACACTTCAGCCGTACAAAGGCTGAGCACAAGGGGGAGCGGCTGGGAGGAGCGAGCGCTCTAAGAGCAAGACCAGGGAAGAGGGGAACCTCCTCTTCCTCCTGCAGGGCCTGCCAACACCAGGTTAAAACAACTGCAAGTGCAATACACCACTGCTGATGAGACCCTCGGCGTGGCTCAGGCAGGCCATCCCACGTACTTCTATTATCTGTATCCTTGGCTGGTGGGGTTTGAAGTTCAGAGAGGACCGTGGGGATGCACTTGCCCATGGAGACCACTCCAAAAAAAAAGCAGAGCGTGCACACATTGCACGTATTTCAAATCTGGAAGGGCCAAGCCCCAACTAGCTTTATACTGATTTATGCCCAGAGGTGAGCCATCCAGCTGATAAGCCTTAAGAGAAATGGGAGGAACCATCTGAGGAGAAAGGAAAGCCTCACTTCTCCTCTGCACCTCGCGCTCTGACATAGGGTGGTTGCTCTGTCTGTGGCAACCAACTCCTTTTAGGCTCAGGACTTGCCTCCGCATCTCAGCACCAGCTCCGCGGTGCCCAAAAAGCTGTTTGGGCTTTGGGAGAGGGTGAGCAGCTGCCAGGACAGGCTGGAAGCGGACGGACAGAGTTGGGTTTACATCACTTGGTGAAATCAAGCAGGTGAGGGAAATATTCCCCAATATCTCAGCACTTTAGGCTCCCTCCCACCCGCGCTGGCCCGTGGCACGGTTACGGTCAGGGTGATGCCTCCGTCCGAGTGCCGGATGCAGCCTTACCAAGTGAAATGCCTCGTGGGAGTGCTGGAAGCTCAGCAGCATGTACTGCAGGACGGACAAAGCCCCCTCTCTCACAATGGGGTACAGCAATTTGGAGAAGACCTGGCGAGGGAGAAAAAAAGCAAATGAGAAGGCAGGATGGCACTGCAACACGCATGAGAGGGGGCCAGCAGGAAAGAGAGGGGCATCTACCATGGCTGCTGGTCTGTCCCTACTCCATGCTGGACATCAAAGCAAGCATCCTACAGCCAGTCCTCCAGAGTCATCTCCTGTCCAGAGCATGGCCTCAGGGCATCCTAAAAATACCGTGTGAGTTATCCTCACCCTTTCAGGCCTGTGCAATGCCTGGCACAGAATGCTGCAGAGCTCCGTACCTCCTGATGGATGAGGCCGTGCAAGCAAAATCAATGCTAGATTTTCTAAAATGTGCCTCTTCTCTTTTATTGTGATATTTGGAACTTTATCACCAACCTCTCAGGCAAAGAGATAGAAAGAAAAGGCCTTTTTCAAAGGTTAAGTAATGATATTTATCCTATTTTACAGAAAACGGCGTAAGTTGACGATGCCCTCTACCCCTTTCAGACTATACTTCTGAAAGGTTCCAAGAATCACATGTTATTTTAAGGGCTGTGTCCCTTTCCTATGCAATAACAATGAAAGGAAAGATAAAGAAAAGTCGGAGATGGTTGGCTACTCTCCGACTGCTCAATGCACGTGGGGGATCACAGGGTCAAATGCAGTTATTGATAATGTTCCAATGCTGATAATTATGGTATTGATAACTTCTATGGTGACATCCATTGGAGGCTCAGCCAGGTGTTATCGCCATTTTACAAGGGAGGGGATAGCAGGACCACAGCATGGAAAATGTTTTTGAAGCGGTGACCAATTCCAGCACTTGTTTTTCAGAGAGCAGCAAGTACTCACTGCTGAAACAGGTGATGGCAATGGCAGGGGGGGCTTTATCTGCACTATTAAATTAACTAAGGCCATGGCACAGAATTTAAAACTGACCTGAGACTCTGTGGACTGTTAACATGCTCACAGGTGTGTATTTTGAAATTAAAACCAGCACCGTTGAAGGAGAGCGTGTCATATTCGCAAAGGCAGGTTGAACAAGAGCTCCATAATTTGGGAAGAAAACTGTTTGGTTGGCTTGCAAATCCTTGGCCTTTTTTAGTCCATAACCTTTACAACATCAGTACCATTGCAAACCAAAACCTAAAGAACTGCAGGTTCTTCTGGAGAACATCATTCCTGGTCGCAAAAATGGCATCAGACCACCACCCCATGCACAGCAATGCAGCACTCGCAGAGAGAGCAGAGGGCACAACGGTCCCTTCAAAACTCCTTTTCTCTTTTTGATACACCTGAATTCACATCTCATCCTCATTCAGCTGAGAGGCAAGGAGATATCTCAGGTGCAAGGATAAGTCTGTTATTCACATTTGTGTTTAAAAGAGGCCACTGACCTTTTCAATTTTCGAAAGAGTAACTTCAATCAAGATGCTGAACTTCTTCACTGCAGCCAAACCCTTCAGCAGAGCAATGATCCACTTGTCTATGTTCTTTCCCAGTGGCCAGGACACCCACTCGATCATCCTGAAATGAAATACAAACTCTTAAAATAAATTTAATGCACCTATTATGAAAGCCAAGCTCCGCTCTGGGTTCAACCTCCTTCAAATTCGTGTCCAGTCAGTGGGATGACCAAGTAAGAGGTGGGCTCCACATAAGGCATTTCACGTGTTATTCAAAGCACAATAGAGTCTGAAGTTGAATTACCCCAATGTCATCAGCATACTGTGGCTCATCAGAGGACCTGACCCAAGTCCATAGAAGAAAATGGGGTTTTCTTCCACTAACTTCAGTCAACTTGAGTTTGAGTTTTTAACATCAATATGGTGTTCTGTATACCACAGTTCTGCTTTGTGGATTTTCTAAGATATCTTTCAGAGGAGGCCCTAGAAGGACAACCTCTGTTTTTAAAGCATCATAAGGCAGATCTAAAGGGGTAATGATGGATATCTGTATCTGAATGAGGTGTTGATCAAGGTCTCTCCATTGTCACCATTAGAGAACAAGTGATACTGGTATGATCTCTGCATTGTTACTGGTAAGGATAATCCACTCAGATTCAGATCTTTAAATTCTGTGTGGGAAACATTCATTTCTAAAAACGCATTAAAAAACATACTGGTAACCCTAATAGAAGCCAGATATTCCGGAATGTCACAGCTAACAAATTTATTCGACAGCCGCTCAACCAACATGTTGTCATGTTTCTGCAAGTAATAAGTACTTTACAGAAGTCACTCATAAAAAAATAACCTCAGACTGAGTGACAACAGGTTGTTTCTGTTTAAATCTAATGTTAAACAAAAATGGGACGTAACTAAGGCTTGGGCTCTCCAAGGGTTGAACTTTGCTAACTGTTTCAGTACCTTTGATCTGAAGATATCTCAGATCTTCAGTCTCCCGCCTTGGCCCAGCTATCTTACCCAATCAGTCCTTTTTGCTTATCAGTCTGTATCGTGTGCAAGATATACGAAGGGAACACAGATAACTAACCACCACAAGGCAAAGAGCAGGAGTAAGTGAAGTCTACAAGGAACTGGAAAAATAAAAGGCTAGGCAGTAAGGCGTGAAGTAAAGTCAGTAAAGCTTGAAGATCAGAATACGTTGGGATGTTGAGAAATACCAAAAGCCAAGCCAAGTTTGATAACTAAGCAAATACCAGAAAAGCTTCTGCAGAGATTTGCATCAGAAGAGAATAAGGAAAGCCATGCAGTCACGGTATACGGAGGATGTGATGGTGATTAAAGATATGATATGGCCTCTAGCTGTGACTTCCAAGCTAAACACATCCTCTGCCCCCATTTTCAGCAAGAGGAGGGAATTGATCAGGGTGGCAAAGAAGAGGCAGCTAAAAGATTTGAGGACGAAAACAAGAGCAACAACAGCTGATGTGAAAGCGAAACGTGAAGAGCTCATGAACTCCAAGCAAGAGGAGGTGGCGATTTCCATCATGTAAAATTCAACTCTGGTGAGTTTTAATGACTCTGTTAACTTTAGCATGGGGCTTTATGTGGGTAGAATAGGAAGACAGTTCCTATAATTAAAACAGGCAATGGCGGGATGACTGGGAAGAATGAATAGTGTGCCACAGTGGGTTACCATAGATGCCAAAGTCAGGTTTGTCAGGATATATGAATTTCTAGTCAAAGGACAGAAGTAGAACATATCTGACTGGCTATCTGAAAGGAGGTTAAAGCAACATTCTTCAGGATCTAATGATGTTAGCACAAACATTCTGAGCATGGCTGTGAAATTTGTGATGATGCAAAGCTGAGAGGCATCATCAACACAAGAGGAGGATCAAGGAATCACAAGGAAGACCCTGAGGATTAGAGATGTAGAACCAGGAGGAAATGAATTGATTTAAAACGCATGCAAGGCACAAGAAATGGATGCTACATGACAGTAACTCATCTGCTTGGAGACATCCAGCTGGACACCAGGTGACTAAAAGTTCCCAGTGTAACTGTAGCCATGGAAAAGACCATCACCATGCTGTGGTGCAGAAGAAAAGGTGTTTTCTATGGCAAAACAAAGACCTCTCAAGCTGTTGTCTAAGGCCATGACGAACCGTACCTGGAACATGATGCACAAACCTCACCTTCCATGTCCAAGACCAATGAACTGACGTGGGAGCAGGTGTTGAAGAGCCTGTTAAGGTGGTCAAAAAAATGAAGAACTTTTCCTGTGAGAAAAGCTTAAAATAACCTGGCTTGTTTATCGCAGCCACGGGAGAGCAGAGATGGGAAGGGCCTGCTCTGCCTGCATATGTTGAAGGAATAAACACCAGGGAGGGAAAAGAGCTTTTTCAGCTATTTATGTTGTCATTAAGATCAAATGAACTATAAGATAGCCAGAAATACATATAGACTGGCTATTAGAAGAGAGACTCAAACCACTAAAGCAACCCAACGGTAGAACAGCGATGAAAGAAGCGCAGTGGGAGCAAAAGCCTTTCCTGCTTTGAGGAGTGTAGCTGAACATTCATGAAAGGGGTCTGTAATGTCAACGCCTATAAAGCAGGGACATGTATCCAGAGATCCAAAGGTCCCTCTTCACCCTATCTTCTTTTACACAGGCATAAAATAAACTTTTTTGCTTTAAGCTATTTTTTTCCAGCACTAGTGGCTAAGTTACAGTCCTGGCTGCTGCTTGCCTGCATTGCTACAGTAAGCAGAAATTACATTTTAAATTCACACTGCACGTTCCACATTGCAAGATCCACAAATGTTTTGGAAGCCAGGGCCCTAATTTTCCAAAGGAGCCATTGATTTGGGACGCTAAACTTTTAAAAGCTCAGATCCTGGTTTCCAGAGGTAGCAAATGCCTGCATCGCTGTGTGATGGCAGATGCCTTCTTCATCTGGACCTGGGCTCTTTGAAACAGATAGGCCCCCAGGAAAAAAAAAAAATAAAAAACCAAATCAGTAAGTACTTCTGAAGTCATGGATGCACATTAATAGAGTTTATCTGAAAAGATACAAGCTCTAAATAAATTCTTTAAAAGAGATTGTGGTGTATGCTTATGCCAGCAGGTGCCAGGCTTGCTGGATTTTTACCACTGTTTATTCTTTAAATGCTTGATCAGAAGCTCCACCCCACGTCCAGTTTATTCCCCTGCTACTGACTCCCAAACCCAAACTCTGGAGGAAGAGACTTCTGTATGGGACCAGTTTGTCAGGGTTCCTAAGCTGAAAGACCCTTCAGCTTGTACATTTTCCTTTGATTTTCCAGGCGTGGAGCACGCGCTCATGGAAAGGCCAACAGTCGTGCAGTTTTCTGGGGCACCCGTCTGCTGTAAACACACTGCCAAAACTTCCACATTTCTCCTAAGTGATCTTAATTGCATTTTGTAGGCTCTGCTTAATGTTTGGCTAATTCTGAGTAACCATTTACTCATCCTTCCACATGACAAAGAATGTTTTAAGGAATGAAGCAATTGAGTTTGCAGCCTCTATATTTAGACACTGGTGCTCTTAGAGGATTTATCGCCTGGAGCTCGCAGCAGCAGGTTCCCAGAAGGAGAAGAAGGTGGAGAAGAGGGTTAAGAACTGAACTAATAACTTAATCTTTTGTCTTGGGTTGTTCTGGACTCTGGGAAAACCATGACCATCCCCAGCAAATCAAAAAAAAAGCATCAGGAATAATGTGTGTTTCTGTCATGTAATCTTACTGGAGGGACACAAATACTGTCATAAGAAGAAAAGAAATATTTCCAGCGAGATCAAGTCACAGAAGCTTCCTCAGGTTAATTGTGTGTGCTACTGCATGTGAACATCACCCATTTAAATAGAAACCTCTAAGGCAAGCATGAAGTTGAAGATACTCCTAAGCAAGCCTGGAGCAAGGTGCTGGAGCATAGACGAGCTGTAGGACTTGGACAAAAGTGTGTGAGGAAGATCTGGTGATGCCAAAGAGGGCACTGTCTCAGCAAAGACCAGGTCTAGCATGTCAGGTAGTATTTCACCCACCACTCTTCATCATGCTTTGACTTCTCCGTCGACTCCGCCTGCACAGAGGGCAAGGACAAACATTGCACAGGACCAAGATCCAGACTACCAGCACCACATTCACCTGACAAAGATCAAAGTGGGATCATTGAAACAGTTGGGCACACCTCCCTCTCCAAGATTTTTAGCTGTGACTGGTGATTTAGGATGATGTCCTTCTGAAGGGAGACAGGAATCAACATGAAATTCTGTAAAGGAGAGTTTTGTGAAGAAAAGGCCCTCAGCAGCTTCTGGGAAAAAATCAAAACTCTCCAAGATTTCTTACGTTGGACATCCTATAGCACCGCGTATTTCTAAGAAAAAAGAAATCAACCTAATAAAATTATTATTGTTATTGTTGTTACATAAATTAGAAGTCTTTATTCTAGTTCTTTAGGACCTCAGGGCTAAGGAAGGATCCAGAAATTCCCTTTTTCTCCACACACTCCTCACTAGACAGCACCAGCCAAACTGGCTGGGATAAAACCATACAAAGGAACGGGGTGCAGCCTTGGGGCAGGTTTTTCTGTGACCTGAGAATGACATTCACTAATGCAGCTTCTCCTACCTGCTGATAGCCGTCATCATTTGCACATCGGTGATGCTGTCATCATTGGTCAGGTTTCTTATGACGCCATCCATGAGCTCCAGAGGGACAAACTGGACCACACTGGCCAAGGCGTTGGATGGCGCTTCCTGCTCCTCTGCAAGACATGGGTGAGAGCCAGCAATGAAGATATTAGTCACTGGGAAAACCAGGCACATGAGGTCATTTCTCATCTCTAAAAGCCAGATCACTTCTGCCTATGTAAATGGAGCAGGTAGTCAGCTGGTGTAAATGAGTGATGTGGAGTCCGCACTTAGCTGTGCTAGGAGGACAATTCCCCAAATCCCAGTGTAGCACATAATGAGGTTGGGTCATAGCAGATGGGCTGTTGCATGAAGCCATCTGTACACAGCCCAAAGGGAGGAAGAGATCACAGGCACAAGAATATTCCTGGGTCCCAAATTTCCTCTGCATGCTCTCTTTATACTAATTTCTGCAAATAATTGCGATGGGATGCAACTGCAGGTTTGCCTGCCTGGAGCACCTCCCAAAGGATGAGGTTTGCATACAGAGGGCACTGAAAACCCCATCTCCCCATGGGTTTAGGAATAGCTGGAGCAGGAGCTCACCTGCCAGCAGAGTCCAGCCTTTCATGGCACCGGTACCTCCAAAAATCTTCTGAGACCCCCTGCAATAACCTAAAGGCCCCAGAAGTTGAATGAATATCTTCTGTCCCACCTTGAGATACAACCATCCTCCAGAGAGAGAGTAGGGCTTCCTATCTCTGGTTAGGTGACAAATAACTCCTCAGCTTTGTCCCTAGCTTCCGGTAAGGAGCAGGCTGTGGGGTCCGATCAAGTCAGCCTTAAGAGACTGACATTTCGAAAAGCTTTCAAGCCCCACTCTAACCAGCTGCAGATAAGGTGCTTTCCATCAAGCCCAGCTAATGCTGCAAAGTGCTGAACACACAAACTGGTGTTGCAGATATTTCAACCCAGTTAATGACTCCTGCGTACAGACTCTGTGTGGTTTCAGGGGATATTCTTTTCCTAGCTTAAAGCCCTGGGTAACTTTTAGGGACGCTTGTTTATGATATTTCAGCTGTGGCTGCATTTCTGGAGAGGATGAGAACCATACAAGTTGTCAAACTAATGAAACTTGACTTCATTGGAGCCAACATTTACATTCCCAGCCTTTTTTTTTTTTAATTACCTGTCGAAGAAATTATAGTGAACAGCTCCTTCAAAGAGGGCAGGATGGCGGAGGTCTGAGTCCTCCAGATCCTCTGCAGCAGACCGCTCACTTTGTTCACCTGCTCCAAAAACTCCATGATGTCCTCCTCCCCCTCGGAGATGCACTGGAACTGCCCAATACACCGGATCAGCTGCTGACAAAACAAGACCAGGTGTTTGCCCGTGGGAATGCACTGAGGATGCTGGGTTAAGAGTTTGCTGATCTTCGCACACTGCTTGGGGCTGGGCCTCTCACAGACTTTCCGGAGCACCTCGATCCTCAATAAGCTGAAGATGTTGTTTGCTGATGGGCTTTCCAAGACGAACTGCAGTCCTAATTGGATATAATCAAGGACGTAATGGCTTCTCTTCCCCAGAGGTCCATAGCCTTCCTGAAGGAGACTCAAAAAAAATTGAAGAACTCCTCAAATTCCTCTGGGTGGTAGTGGCCATAGACCTCCAAAACTTCTTTCCCAATCTCTCTTTTATACTTGGTGTCCCCCATGAGATAAAGCTTGGTAGACAGCTCCAGCATGGACCAGCATTGCTCGCTGTCCATGGGCTGTTTCGCTGCCTCAATGACACGCCTCACAAGCCCTTGCTTCACGTTGTTGGGGTATGAGGACATCACCACGGCTTCCAGTATCTTATCCATCTCTGCTCCCAGGTGCTGAAAGAGAGGAACAGAGCAGCAGGTTAGTTCAAGCAGAGTCTGCTGAGCTTTCAAGCCCAGGCTGCCAAGGGAGATCAAAGAAGCAGAGCTTGAGAGCTGTCCAGGACCACTATGAAGATAATTCTTGTGCCCTTTTCATAGTGGCATTCAGAGAAGTTTCCACCCTGGTGATGTTTGACTGAGACTAAAGCCCCCAAACTGAATGAATACACAAAAACTTCTTCAGACTCATTACTTATTTGAGCATTTTCATCTTGTAAACAACCAACTACAGTTTTACACTTGACCCTAGGGATGGATGAACTCCCTCTCCTCGATGGGTTCAGCAACTCAAGATGGTGCCCCATGTTTCACAAAATGCAATCCCTGCTGGAGACAGCCTGCCACAGACCCATGGGGAGTGGGGAAGCAGGGGAGCCAAGTTCTTCCACTGGCGTTTGCTGGCTCAGGTGTCCTCAAGAAGCAAAGACGCTCCCAATGATCCTCTTCACATTCCGGGAAGGAGAAAAAAGCCCTGGGAAGCAGAGATGAGATTGCAGCCTCTCTGTGCAATAGCAGGGGCACACGTTTGACATTTACGCTCTGCTGCCAGCCACTCCGGGTGAATGGTGCAGTCTTGGCTGCTCCCCAGGACCTGCCGCATTTGTATGCGGGACCAAAGTGAGAGGGGAGAGAAACTGCAGAGTCAGGCAAAGTTTCCCATTCGTCACTGCCCAAATTCACCAGCAATAAAGCGTTAGATGAGAGAGTAATAAATCCTAAGGATTTCCCTGGAAAATCTCAGAACAACATGTATAACCAGGTGTTGGATGCACTACTGCACAAGAAACCCCATTACAGAGTGATAAAATTAGACAG